CTCATTTCACTGCAACCTCCACCTTCCAGGGTCAAGCGATTCTCCTGCCTCAGCCTCCCAAGTAGCTGGTACTACAGGTACCCGCCACCATGCCCGGCTAATTTTTGTGTTTTTAGTAGAGTCTGGGTTTCGCCATGTTGGTCAGGCTGGTCTTGAACTCCTGACCTCAGGTGATCTGCCTACCTCAGCCTCCAAAGTGCTGAGATTACAGGCTTGAACCACCTCAAGCCAAGTTTTCATTTCTCCAATTCTTTGTTTTCCTTAAATGCCAAGAAGTGAAATTTCTGGCTCCTGGTAATTCTGTGTTTAACTTCTTAACCAGCAAACCGTTGTCCACAGTAGCTGCACCACTGTGTCCCCTCAGCAGTGCAGGAGGGTCCTGTTTCTTGATATCCTCACTGACAGCTTATATTTTCCTTTTTGTGATGTTATTACTGTAGCTACCCTCATGGGTATGAAGGGATGTCTCCTGTGGTTTTGATTTGCATTTTCTCAGTGACAGTGATGTTGAGCCCCTTTTCATGTACCAGCTGGCCATTTCTATAGTTTCATCGAAGAAGTGTCTGTTGGAGTCCTTTGCCCACCTTTTAAAAATATTTCTTTAAGAGTCTGGGTTTCACTGTGTCACCCAGGCTGGAGTGCAGTGGCGTGATCAGAGCTCACAGTAACTTAGAACTCCTGGGCTCAAAGGATCCTCCCGCCTCAGCCTCCTGAGTAGCTGGGACTACAGGCATGAGCCATCACACCTGGCTAATTTTTAAATTTTTTTGTAGCAACTGGATCTCACTATGTTGCCCAGGCTGGTCCTGAACTGGCTTCAAGTAATCCTCTTGCCTCAGCCTCTGAAAGCACTGGGATTTACAGGCGTGAACCACCTCACCTGTCCTCTTAACAGCCCATTTCCTTCTAATCAGTTGTCAGTTTTAGCTCTTGCGTTTAGGTCTTCGGTCTATTTAGTGGGAAAACCACTTTGTTGGCTTGTAATACACACAGAGGGGTGCATACGTTATACCTGTGCATCCTGACACATCTTTACAAACTGGACACGTGTAACTGGTGCCAAGTCAAGAAAGAGAACAGGCCCAGTGCCCCAGGCTCCCCCGTGAGTCCCTGAGGTCACTCTAGCCGTGTAGATTGCTTTGCCTGGTTCCGAACCTCATAAACCTGGGGCCTGTTCTCTTGTGTCCGACTTCCTTGGCTTAGATCAGTTCACCAGCATCCTCCGTGTTGTTTGTTCAGGATGTGAGGGTGCAGTGTGTGTGAGTCCATTCCCGTGACGTGTAACAGAATGCCTGAAACTCCCGGGTAATTTATAGAGAAAGGGATCGATGTCCTACAGTGACAGAGGTTGCGAAGTCTGAGGTGGAAGGGGCACGTCCTGTGGCTGGTGGGAACTTTCTGCAGAGTCTCGAGAGGACGCAGGGCATCCTGTGGCGAGGGGCGGAGTGTACTGGCTGGCTCACACCTTTCCTCTCTTCCAAGCCACCAGTCCCGCTCCCACGATGGCCTGTTAGTCCATTAATGGATCCGTCCGTCCTGAGGACAGGGCCTTCACGGTCCACTCCCCTCTTGATGGCCCAGCTCTCAATACTGCCACACTAGTGATTAGATTTCAACATGAGTTTTGAAGGGGACAAACAGTCAAGCTGTAGCGGGAAGCATGTGAAGAGGGGGTGTGCATGTGTCCTTACAGTAGAACGATTTATAATCCTTTGGATATATACCCAGTAATGGGATTGCTGGGTCAAATGGAATTTCTATTTCTAGGTCCTGGAGGAATCGCCACACTGTCTTCCACAATGGTTGAACTAATTTACACTCCCACCAACAGTGGAAAAGTGTTCCTATTTCTCCACATCCTCTCCAGCATCTGTTGTCTCCAGATGTTTTAATGATCGCCGTTCTAACTGTTGTGAGATGGTATCTCAGTGTGGTTTTGATTTGCATTTCTCTAATGACCAGTGATGATGAGCATTTTTTCATGTTTGTTGGCCTCCTGTATGTCTTCCTTTGTAAAGTGTCTGTTCATATCCTATGCCCACTTTTGAATGGGCTTGTTTGTTTTTTTCTTGTAAATCTGTTTTAGTTCTTTGTAGATTCTGGATATCAGCCCTTTGTCAGATGGGTAAACTGCAAAAATTTTTTCCCATTCTCTTGGTTGCCAATTCACTTTAATGACTTTCTTTTGCTGTACAGAAGCTGTGGAGTTTGATTGGGTCCCATTTGTCTATTTTGGCTTTTGTTACCAATGCTTTTGGTGTTTTAGTCATGAAGTCCTTGCCTATGCCCATGTCCTGAATGGTTTTGCCTAGATTTTCTTCAAGGGTTTTTATGGTGTTAGGTCTTACGTTTAAGTCTTTAATCCATCTGGAGTTAATTTTAGTGTAAGGTGTGAGGAAGGGGGTCCAGTTTCTGCTTTCTGCACATGGCCAGTTTTCCCAACACCATTTATTAAACAGGGAATCCTTTCCCCATTGCTTGTTTTTGTCAGGTTTGTCAAAGATCGGATGGTTGTAGATATGTTGTGTTGCCTCCAAGGCCTCTGTTCTGTTCCATTGGTCTATATCTCTGTTTTGGTACCAGTACCATGCTGTTTTGATTACTGTAGCCTTGTAGTATAGTTTGAAGTCCAGTAGTGTAATGCCTCCCACTTTGTTCTTTTTGCTTAGAATTGACTTGGCTATGCGGGCTCTCTTTTGGTTCCATATGAAGTTTAAGGTGGTTTTTTCCAGTTCTGTGAAGAAGGTCATTGGTAGCTTGATGGGAATAGCGTTGAATCTGTAAATTACTTTGGGCAGTCTGGCCATTTTCACTATATTGATTCTTCCTAACCATGAGCATGGAATGTTTCTCCATCTGTTTGTATCCTCTCTTATTTCGTTGAGCAATGGCTTGTAGTTCTCCTTGAAGAGGTCCTTTACGTTCCTTGTTAGTTGTATTCCTAGGTACTTTATTCTCTTTGTAGCAATTGTGAATGGCAGTTCGTTCTTGATTTGGCTCTCTTGAAGTCTATGACTGGTGTATAGGAATGCTTGTGATTTCTGCACGTTGATTTTGTATCCTGAGACTTTGCTGAAGTTGCTTATCAGTTTCAGGAGATTTCGGGCTGAGACGATGGGGTCTTCTAAGTATACAATCGTGTCATCTGCAAATAGAGACAAATCGACTTCCTCCTTTCCTATTTGAATACTCTTTATTTCTTTTTCTTGCCTGATTGCTCTGGCTAGAACTTCCAGCACTATATTGAATAGGAGTGGTGAGAGAGGGCATCCTTGTCTAGTGCCAGATTTCAAAAGGAATGCTTTCAGTTTTTGCCCATTCAGTGTGATATTGGCTGTTGGTTTGTCACAAATAACTTTTATTTTTAAAAATACAGAGCTGTCTCGATCTCTGATGTACACATTAGAGTGCTACTCAGACCACTGGGCATGTTAATCATTGTGATCAGCGAAATGATCATTTCACCCACATTCTGGGGCCAGATGCTGAGGCGTGACCTGCTGTCCAGAGAGATCCCTCTACCTGGTGCTCCCTGAAGTGGCCCAGGTGCCAGGCCCTGCACTTGAGAGGCTGGCTGTCCAGTGGGGAAGAATACACCCAATTAATCGCCAAACAGTGTGGAAATGGGGCTGTGAACACCCAGATGAGGGAAGCATCAGGGAAAGCCCCCGAGGGGAGGTGGATGTAGGCTGAGATGGCAGTCAGGGTGGCAGGGGCAGGGGAGTTGGAGGGCTGCTGGTGGAGGGGCCAGCTGGTGCCGAGGCCTGGGCCCTGCGGGGGCAGGCAGGACTGAAGTCGGCCTCCTCTCCTGGGGTAAGGGCCCCTTTCCTGGAAGACATTCGTGGCCTTGTCACCTGGCCTGGAGGTTGGCAGAGGAGGCCACACCAGGCCGTGTGCAGGAGAAAAGTGTTGAGATGGAGTCTTGCTCTGTCACCCAGGCTGGAGAGCAGCGTCGTCGTGATCTCTGCTCACTGAGACAAATACGGGTCCCGACGGTGGGGACTGGCCCTTCGAGTATCCCCCGGGTACCTGTGTACACGGCGTGCTGTGACCATGCCAAGTGCTGTGACCAGCCGACATTTCTGCTTTAGTAGAAACGTTCTGCTTTGTGCTTTCTTCTCCGCCTAATTCTCGGGGCTCTTCCTCCCAATACAGCCTCCTTGGGGCTGTCTTCATCCCAGGGAAGGCGCAGGGCGGGGAAAACTGGATGCTCAAAAATCGCATTTCAGCCCTTTACTCACTGATTCAGGAAACTAGTTATTACAAATTCAATTTAGGTGGGGATCAGGAAAGCGCTTCCCATTTCAGGAAAAAGCGAGCCTCAGATACAGCAGCGAGTTAGCAGCAGGCGGCTGCGCCTTGCGGTCAGGTAGGAAGTGTGGCTATAACGTGCTGGTGAATGCAGCGTTTAGGGGAATGTTTTTTGTTTTTGCAAAAATAAGCCAAACCAGGCAATGTCATTTATTTGGGTTATTTCGGTATTAGTGTTCGTAATCCAATTTAATAAATTTTAAGAATGATAAAAACCAAATGCGCGTGGAACACACTGAGCGGCACAGAGGTATGAAGAGGAAAGTACTGATCCTTCTCCGCCTGCTCCTCTCATTCCTGCGCCTGGGGAACCGTGTTCTCTTTCCCTCCCCTCCCTCTGCCCTTTTCCTTCTTTCCTGCCTGTTCAACTCTCCGCTCCTTCAAACTGCTCCTGGTGGAGGGGGAGGCTGACCCCTCATGGCCTGCCCTGGTAGGGAGCAGCCCACCTGAGGAGGGCGGGCAAGTGCGGCCTGGACTCCCCCTGCCTCCCATGGGGTGCCTTGGACAGCCTGAGGGAACCCCCTGGTCCAGGCTGTGCTCAGGGGTCTTGGGTCCCGAGGGTGGGGGCTGGCCCTTCCAGTATCCCCTGCCTACCTGTGCGCAGGGCGTGCTCTGTCCGTGCCGGGGGCTGTGACCCCGCCGACAGTTCTGGCTTTGGTAGAAACGTCTGCCTTGTGCTTTCTTCGCAGGCTGGGGAGAAGCACTACCACCCTTCCTGCGCGCTATGTGTCAGGTGCGGCCAGATGTTTGCAGAAGGCGAAGAGATGTATCTTCAAGGTAAAAAATAAAATGCGATGTTTGGTCCCCTAGGGCAAGGAACTACTCTTAAGAGGTCCATACCATGTGCCGGCTGTGAACGGGTTGGTTATGGTGTCATCTCGCTAGGTCAGCCCAGCCACAGTGGGGGGCTGGCAGGGCAGGCAGGGGCACATGCCAGCACGGCCTCCTAAGCCCGCCTTGTCGGTCCAACAGTGTCAGTGAGCCCGAGACCAGCAGAAAAGGAAAAGGGCCAGGCCAAAGACCAGGACCCGGAAGTGCTGGCTGGTTGGCTCCGAGCAGCAAAGCTGAAGCAGATGCGGCCTGTTAACATCCATTGCCACGTTAGGCCCCTGCTAGAAAGCCGCCCCCCAGCTCAGGGAGTCCAGATGAGGAGTGTGAGGTGTTTCCTGCCCCAGCCACCCCAGCCTGCTGTGACCCCTCTGTCCACAAAAGAGGTTGGTAGCAAAGTCCTGAGGGCCACTGGCGGGGCCGGAGGGTTTCTTCCAGGAGCGAGGGAAAAGCCAGCCCCAGCGAGCACTGGTGAAAGGAGAGATTGGAGGGAAACTTAGTGGATTTCTAACGGGCCTCATGGGAAATGCCCCAAGCCATTAAAAAAAAAAAAAAAAAAAAAATCACTGCAATCGGCCAGGTGCAGTGGCTCATGCCTAATAATCCCAGCACTTTAGGAGGCCGAGGCAGGTGGATCATGAGGTCAGGAATTCAAGACCAGCCTGGCCAAAATGGTGAAATCCCGTCTCTACTAAAGGTACAAAAATTAGATGGGCATGATGGCAGGCACCTGTAATCCCAGCTATGGGGGAGGCTGAGGCAGGGAATTGCTTGACCCTGGGAGACAGAGGTTATAGTACACTGAGGTCACCCCACTGCACTCCAGCCTGTGCAACAGAGCAAAACTCCATCTCAAAAAAAAAAAAAAGAAAGAAAGAAAAAAGAAAAAATCATGTTATCACAAAGGCAGGGTGTCCTGTGGGCTGCCAGACTGAAGAAAGAGCGAGGCCTGATGACTGGTCACCTCTCCTCCTCCCAGATCAACCCTTTTTAACTAATTGCTTCTCATTTTCACAATTAAATTAACCTTCCGATGGCAGCATTCGGCTCCCCGTTCTATCTTCACAATGCAGGAGTCCAGTGGCAAGGGAGGAGGGAGGTAATGACTTGCAGGGGGAAGAAATGTAATTTTCGACCTTTTATCGTTCTTAGTTGGGACAGATCCTGGTAACAAAAGACAGATTAACAAGAGAAGGATGAACAGAAGCTTACTGACACGTGCAGCTCGTGTATGCTCCAGAAGTAGCCCAGAGAAATGAGGACACGCAGGGGCAGATCTCCAAGAGGCAGCTTTGGGATTTTTCTTGTTTTTGTTTTTGTTTTTTGGAGGCAGAGTCCTGCTGCCTTGCCCAGGCTAGAGTACAGTGGCAAGAACTTGGCTCACTGCAACCTCTGCCTCCCGGGTTCAGGTGATTCTCCTGTCTCAGCCTCCCAAGTAGCTGGGACTACGGGCATGCACCAGTATACCTGGCTAATTTTTTGTGTGTGTTTTTAGTAGAGACGGAGTTTCACTATGTCGGTCAGGCTGGTCTCGAACTCCTGACCTCAGGCAACCTGCCAGCCTTAGTCTCCCAAAGTGCTGAGATTACAGGTTTGGGCTACCATGCCCAGCCATCAAAGAGGCAACTTTGACCTCAGGCTGAGACAACAGCATTCCCTACAACAAAGAAGGAAAGGTGTGGGGAGGCAGTTATGTCGAGACGGGACAGGAGGGGACCTTAGGCAAGCAGGGCAGTGATATGCGTCTTCTCCGTGGATAAGAGACCCCGGGGACTTTGGGTCATCCTGATCTTCCTGGTGCAGAGAGGAGACACCCTTAGAGATGGAGGCTCCCTTTGAAGATTTTGATTTCCCTTGTAAAATGGTCACTTCTACTCGGTTTTCAGTGCTTTCTGCGTCTGCTGTTTCCCCAGTAATCAACTCAAAATAACCCTTATGCCAGAGGGGCATGTCAGGGGCGGCACATTCTGGCCTCCTAGTCCTGTTTGGGGTGGCATGTTCTGAGCCCCATCCCTCTCCTTGCAGACAGGCTCCTAGAGTTGCTCTTCATCTTATCACGCTGCCCATCCCCCTGTGTATTGCTTATTCCTTCCCTGAGCCCTTTCTGCTAAAGAAAATTATTCTGGCCCTCGTTAAAACCAGTAAGGAAGACACTTCTGGACTTTGCAACAGGAGTCAAGACCGTTGCAATGGAAGAGAGAGGGAGTGAGATTCTGAATGGCAGACAGTGGGGATTGCAGCCGATGAGCAGCGGTGGGGCCGCGGGTGGAAAGTCGCCGGAGGTACTGGGCTTCTTGCTGAACTGACCCCATGAGATGCTCACTGAAGACGGGGTGAGGACTGAGACTTCAAGGAAGGGATGAGGAACTCAATCAGAAGTGGAGGGAGATGAGGGTTCTAGGCCCGGGGTTTCCTGCCAAACTGATTTTGCAGGATTCTCGCTGAAACTGGGCCAGGCAGGCCTGAGACTGCATGGGTTGTGAGGGTGACGGTGGCGGCCTGCGGAATGGTGGAGGCCTAGTTGAGAAGAGGGTTCAGAGGTCGCAGGGGCACTGGTGGGACAGGGGCCATGTGTTGGAGTGCAGCCCCCAGGCCTGATGATGGACTGGATGGGGCGGAGGGGTCCTGGCGAGGGGGCGTCTGGTATTGAGACTTGACCTCTTTAGCCACAACTCCCTCTTGAAGATCCTCTGTCTTCAGTGCTCCCAGAGGCCAGCTGGGCCCGGCAGAGTCGGGGAGACTGCTGTCAGAGCGTCTGCCGTGCAGGCCCCTGCAAGCTGCTGAATGACCTCATGCAGCCATCGTCACCAGGCTGTGGGTCACACAGGCCTCCCTTTCTCAGGCTGAACCCAGTGAGGTAATATCAGACAGGATAGCCTCATCCCTGGTGTTGCCTGTTCCTTGAGTCTCTGCTCGAGAGCCCATCAAAGGGTCCTTTGGGACCGTCCCAGCAGTGCCAGGCTGTCTGGGTGGGGGACTTGCTCTGCATGGGGCTTGGCTACCACAGTAAAGGGTGCCCTTAGACAGCGGGGCCTGGGGGAGGCTGAGCACAATGGCCTTGGGACGGCAGCCGGGGGACACAAGTTCACATCAAGGGTAACCTCATCTCAGGAACAAAGACACCCTTCAGGACTGGCTGAGGCCGGCCCCTGCTTCTGCTGTGAGGTTCTGTGGGATGTCGAACCCAGGCCCATCCCCTCTCCAGACTTGGATTTCTCAGTCTGAATGATGACAGGTCAGACCAGCTGTGTGACTTTCAGGCTCTGCTCCCTGACACGGGCTTCCTTGGGGCCCCCAGCCTGCCCGGTCATCCTGAGACCCTCTGTGTGGCCTCCAGGGATGACAGGGCTCTGTGCAGATATTATTTGGCAGACAAATCCTGCTGCAATAAAAGCTCTGAAAAGCATGGGTCCCAGCGACCCCCATGGTCTCCTGGGCGACAAGGCAGCCCAACCCCTGTGATGTCACTACTGCCCCTGCCCTGGACTTTCCCAAAAACATGGGGTGGGGCGTCAGATCCCACTAATTGTTAAGATGCTCATATTAAAATAATGAGATACTCATTTTTCTCACTGGGGTGACAAAGATGAAAAGGAAGTGTGAGCCCCATGTTGGTGAGAAATTCTTACGCAGCTGATAGGGGTGAAAATTGGGAAATTGCCAGAAAAATCTCAAGAGCCCTAAACATGACCCCACTCTTTGAGCCAAGACACCATTTCTAGGAATGTGTGCCAGTGGTGTGCAGTAGAGCCCCTGCGGCGTCATTTAGAAATAAATAACACATGAGAAAGATCGGGAGAGGAGGCTGGTGCAGGGGCTCACACCTGTAATCCCAGCACTTTGGGAGGCCGACGTGGGCGGATCACCTGAGGTCATGAGTTCATGACCAGCCTGGCCAGCACATCTCTGCTAAAACTGGTTGTGGTGACGCATGCCTGTAATGCCAGCTACTCAGGAGGCTGAGACACAAGAGTGTCTCGAACCTGGGAGGTGGAGGTTGCAGTGAGCTGAGATTGCACCACTGCACTTCAGCCTGGAAAACAGAGTGAGACTCTCTTAAAAAAAAAAAAAAAAAGAAAGAAAAAGAAAAAAATCAGGAGAGGAGTAGAGGGATAAAATTCTTGTCTATCCATATTACGTAGCCCTTAAAGTTGCATGTTTTGATATTTAATTTAATGAGGAAATGTTCAAGACATTTTTAGGCAAATATGTAGGATATGAAATTGTGTCTGTAGGCTGGCTGTGGTGGCTCACGCCTGTAATCCCAGCACTTTGGGAGGCTGAGGCAAGCAGATTGCTTGAGCCCAGGAGTTCAAGACCAGCCTGGGTAACATAGTGACACCCCATCTATAAAAAAAAAAAAAAAATTAGCCAGGCATGGTGGCATTCGCCTGTAGTCTCAGTTGCTTGGGAGGCTGAAGCAGGAGGATTACTTGAGCCCAGGAGGTGGGGACTGCAGTGGGCTGTGTTTGCACCACTGCATGCCAGGCTGGGTAACAGAGTGAGACCCTGTCTCAAAATAAAAGAAGGAAGGAGGGAGGAGAGGACAGGGGAGGAGAGAGAAATTGTGGCTGTACACTGAGTCCCTTCTGTTTATGGGTACACCCCTGTTAGAAGGCAGCCACCAAAACGCGGGTGAGAGATTAGAATTGATTTTCATTTTATTTATACTTCTTTTTTTTTTTTTTTTTTTTTTTTTTGAGACGGAGTTTCGCTCTTGTTACCCAGGCTGGAGTGCAATGGCGCGATCTCGGCTCACCGCAACCTCCGCCTCCTGGGTTCAGGCAATTCTCCTGCCTCAGCCTCCTGAGTAGCTGGGATTACAGGCACGCGCCACCACGCCCAGCTAATGTTTTGTATTTTTAGTAGAGACGGGTTTTCACCATGTTGACCAGGATGGTCTCGATCTCTTGACCTTGTGATCCACCCGCCTTGGCCTCCCAAAGTGCTGGGATTACAAGCGTGAGCCACCGCGCCCGGCACTTTTTTTTTTTTTTTAAGACGGAGTCTTGCTTTGTCGCCCAGGCTGTAATGCAGTGGCACAATCTCCGCAACCTCCACCTCCCAGGTTCAAGCGATTCTCCTGCCTCAGCCTCCTGAGTACCTGGGATTATAGGTGCCCACCAGAATGCCTGACTAAATTTTGTATTTTTGATAGGGGTTTTGCCATGTTGGCCAGCCTGGTCTTGAACTCCTGATGTCAGGTGATCCGCCTACCTTGGCCTCCCAAAGTGCTGGGATTATAGGTGTGAGCCACTGTGCCCAGCCCTATGACTTTACGGTCACAACATTCTTTAGACTTATAGGCAAGAAATGTTTTATATATGCTCACACACATGTGTAACCCAGTCACCCTCTCTCAGAGCTCTGAGTTGCTCTTGTGTCCCCAGAAAGGAGACACTATGAAATCCACATGACCCAGGAGGCTTTGTAGGCAGGAGATGATCCTGACTATGTGCCAGCCTGTGTGGCTTGTTTATAGATACACGAGTCAGCCGCAGCCCTCACCTTCGTGGGAGCAGTGGGTGAGAGATGGAGACACAGCCAGGCAGGTGGGTCAGGCTGAGGTTCAGGGAAGCCCCAGGAGAAGCAAGTGCCCCAGGCTCTGAAGGATGGGAAGGTGGTCAGGGAGAGCTGACCTTTGCCGAGTCCCCCATGCACAAGAAGGGTTGGCACTAATGCAGCTAACATTTGTATACAACAAAGCACTTTTCTGGTACTTTATTACCTCTGCTTAATTTTACTTAATTCACCCAGTGACCTGACAAGGTAGAATTCTTATTAGCTCTATTCTTAGGTGGAAAAATACCAAAGACCTGGGGCAGGTAGAGGTTGAATTAGAAAAGAAAGCAGAGTGCCAGGGATGTTGGGGGTACTTGGTGCTGGGTGACCTTGTTATATTGATGGTAGTGGCTATTGACATGGGTGGCTGGACAGAGCTGACAGCTAGAGAAACTGAGACACAAGAAGGCTTGGAGACTGAGTAAATTAGTGACGGGGTGGGGTGAGACTTGTGCCCAGTTTGAGCCTTATGCCCAGCCCCCACTGAACAGACCCCATACCCTAAGGAGCAGACCCACTTCCCACCTGAGGTTCTGTCTTTCCACCTCTCAGCTTGGAGCCCTGTCCCCAGCGTCCTCTCCCCAAGGCTGGCTCCCACCCAGGTTGCAGCCTCAGCTGTCTGCAGGCTGGCCCTGCCTTTGCCCTCAACATACAGGCAGCCAGTCCTACATCCTAGCCAGGGAGCCTCCTCTCTGGACTTGAAACCCCTTCAAATAACCCCCTCCTCAGAGAATAATCTTCTAGCCACCCCAGGCTGGGTGAGATGCCTGCCCCCCAGGCTCCTCAAGACTCAGGAAGCAGTTAGTGCACAGCAGTGCCTTTCCCTGCCTGTTTCCTGCCTCCATCCCCCAGTTGGGCTCGGAGCCCCTGGGGGGCAGGGACTGTGATCTGGGCACCCCCTGCCTGGCACTAGCTCCAGCCCAGAGAGGCTGCTCAGGGCCGCTCGGAGGGTGGAGTCCAAGTGTACGTCTGTGCATGGACCAGCTCCCTGCTCTGTGTTTCCACACAGGCCCCTGCAATGTGGGAAATAACGCTAATCACTTCCCTGTTGGGGATTTATCAACAGGTTCCTCCATCTGGCATCCGGCGTGTCGACAGGCAGCCAGAACTGAAGACAGAAACAAGGTTGGTGCCATTTACTGGTGTCTCTGATGGACTCTTCGCTGCTCCCACACAACCTTGGTTCAGTGAAGAGGACACTGACCAGGTTCTACAGGCTCATTGTCCAGTCCCACGGGCGGCCGGATGGGGGCAAGGAGGCGGGAAGGGGTACACGGGTAGACTGCGGAGCAATCACGCGGATGGAATGAGAGCATCTTTGTTTTCTATCACGGAATGCCACGGGCTAGGTAATCTGTTTAGAAAGAAATGAATTCAGCTCCTGGTTCTGGAGGTGGGGGAGTCCAAGAGCATGGTGCCGGCATCTGGTGTGAGCCACCCCGTGTCAGGAGCTGGAGAGAGGGTGAGAGCTCATGCACAAAGAGAAGGAGGGGGCCAAACTCCCGAGATAATGAACCCACTCCCACAGCGTCCATCCATTCATGTAGGCAGAGCCCTCGTGAATAATCGCTTCCCAAAGTGTACAGACAATAATCGCTTTCCAAGGTGTACAGACACTGAACCCCTTCCATTTTTAGGTACACCTATGCTAGAAGGCAGCCAGCGAAAAGCGGTTGAGAGATTAGAAATGATTCTATGTTTATTTCTACTTTTAAAAAGGTTTCTATATTTTTTTAATAAGGGACGTCTATTAATTACTTTTTTTTTTTTTTTTAAGGCAATCTCACTCTGTTGAGCTTCTTTCTGGTTACCCTCCCGGAAGGAGGCAGTCAGATATGCATTTATATCCGGGAGCAGAGGGGTGGCTTTGAATAGAACGGGAGGCAGGTTTGCCCTGAGCAGTTCCCAGTTTGACTTTTCCCGTTAGCTTAGTGATTTGGGGGCAGGCCCCATCTGGCTGGTGCTCTGTGACCTGAGGGTGGTCTGTGGTCCGGTCTGGCTGGTGGTCTGGGACCCGAGGGTGGTCTGTGGTCCCGTCTGGCTGGTGTTCTGTGACCCGAGGGTGGTCTGTGGCCCCGTCTGGCTGTTGCTCTGTGACCCGAAGGTGGTCTGTGGCCCCATCTGGCTGTTGCTCTGTGACCCGAGGGTGGTCTGTGGTCCTGTCTGGCTGGTGCTTTGTGACCCGAGGGTGGTCTGTGGTCCCATCTGGCTGGTGTCTTCATCCCACTGCACATCTAAGCAACCACTGGCCTCCCACTTCCTTCGAACGTGGGGTGTCCCGGACGCCTCATCCAGTCTACCACGCGTGCTACCTTGTGGGTCCTGAGTGACTCCAGTGTCCTGTAGCAGCAGGTCTGGGCTTTTGTTTGAGCAGCTGTGCCTGCAGGGAACAGAGCGGGGTGTTCAGAGTGTCTCTTGGGGTTTGGGACAGCACTCAGACGTAGGCCCGTCTGGTGAAACTGCGGGATACCCAGCATCCAGACCCCTCCTGGAAGGGCAGCTCCCCTGCTGGCTGGTACAGCAGGCAGGGCTGGAGGCCTGCACAGGGGCAGGCAGGGGCCCTGGCTTCTCACCTGTGTCCCTGATGGTCTCCTAGTGTCTCTGCTTTTGGCAGTGGAGGGGCCCCAGGGGAAGTCTGCCATTTTCTGCCTTCCACGGTGGCGGAAGAGTCATCAATGAAACCCGCTGTGAGCTTGGCCAGGATGGCGGCAGCCAGCTGGCACATCGTGAGCTCCGTCGTCTTCTCATATGGCTGATGCGGTCCATGATTCATTGTACAAGCTGCCCGGGGCTGCCCTGGGTCTCTGGGATGAGCGAGGCACAGCCCTCTCCTCAGCAAGCCACAGTCTGTGACCCCGAAGTGATCACAGGGCCCGCACCATTTGTGAGATCCTTCCATGCCCACTGAAGGCCTGTGGAAGGGACCTCTCATGTGGGGAACCTCTCATGCTGAGGCCACCAAACCACACTGTGGCTCACACGTGTGCACGGGGAACACCAGCCTGTCTCCCGATGATCCAGCTGCGATGAGCGGAGGGACCAGCTTCTTCGTCTCAAGTTGAATTAGAAAAAACGACGCGAACACATGAGGAGTAGTTTTAAGGAGTGGAGAGTTGCATAGGCAGGAAAGAAGAGGCGCCACCGTACAGAGACAGAGGGAGTGGGGGCTCCAAAGCCAAGAGAAGGAACCCCAAGTGGTGCCTGTACCAGCCAGGTATTTATTACAGAGGCTGGAGGAGGCGGCGTCTGATTTACATAGGGCTCAGGGGATTGGTTTGACCAGGCATGTCAGTCGCTAGCCCTGGGAAAAAGCTGGCCCTCACCCTAGCCTTTTAATATGCAAATGAAGGGCGCCACGATGCACGTTCCACGCTAGTGGGGATGCGTGGGGGCGGCCACGCTGCCAGGAACGTGTGGGGTGAGGGCAAGAAGGCCACGGGAATCACCATGTTCGGGTGGACCCAGTTTCTAATGGCCGGCCTTTGCCAGCCTGGCTCTAAGAGCTGCTTTGAAAACAAAAACTTCCCAAGGACCCCTTTTCGTCTCTGTCTGCCTAAAATAACTTCTTAATAACTCCTACCACACAGAGACTGACCAGGGCTAGGAAAGGCAGCTCCACAGCCACAGCCAGGTCCCCTCAACGGCAGGGAGGGAGGCCGGCGCCAGCTCCCAAGTCCTGGGCCCCACTGTGGAGCTGGCCATGGGACCTGCAGGGGGCCTGACTCCGGCCGGGCAGCAGCAGCAGATCCACCCTCGGCACCGATGCCAGCCCGTGCTGACCTCCGGGTCACTGACGGCGGGGGTGGCTCACTTAGTTAGCCCGGATGCTGCCAGGAGGAAGGAATCCTTGTGCTTGGGGCCTGGGCGGGCAGTGGCGCTTCCTGGGCTCTGTTTGCAGTTGCTTTTGAAGCGGTTATTTTTAACAGAGGCTAGCTGGCCTCTGCCAACACGTGGAGGCGGAGCGTGAGAGCGGCTGGCCTCTTAGCACCGTCCCGGCCTAATGGTTCTCGTACACATCTCAGGTCCCCTTGGGCTAATTGTCCCAGTGGGCCCGGCGCTTTCTGGCCTGGGGGTGGGACGGAGAGCTGCCCTGGTCTGTGGTGTTCGTCAGGTGCAAGCCAGTTAAGGGGAGAACGTGCAGAAGGCAGGCAGGCCTGGGGAAACGCAGCCCAGGTGGCATATCGGCCTCACCGGCTCTGGGAAACCCACACCCAGGTGGAAGTGGCTTCTCGCTGCTACCTGCCAATCAAAAGGAGAAATGACTCCGTCCGGTCCTAGCTCCTCTGTGCCGGCTCCTGGGGGACTCCAGGACCCTCACAGGTGCCAGCCTATCCCTGTCTCAAGGTTGCTTTTCAGCGAAAGGCCGGCCCCTGAGCACCCGGCCCAGGCAAGGCCGCCATAGGGAGGAGGGGGCACTCACTGTTCTCCCCAGCCTGGAAGGCGTCCCGATTGCCTGGCTGCCTTTTCCACACCGTGGGGATGGGAGCTCCCTGAGGACAAGGACCTGTCTACGAGAAGAGTGAAACTTTAAGGTATTGGAGGAGATTCATTGTGAGTCAAATACGAGTGGCCAAGTCTCGGGACACAGCCCTCGGGAGACCCTGAGAACAGGTGCCCAGGACGTTTGGGGTGCAGCTGGGTTTAGACATTTCGGGAAGACATCAATCAAAATACACGTAAGGTTTACATCGGTTTGGTCCAGAAAGCGGGAAGACTCAAAGCAGGGGCTTCCCGGTTACAGGTAGATTTTAAAACGTTCTGATGGGCCCCGCGCAGTGGCTCACACCTGTAATCCCAGCACTTTGAGAGGCCGAGGCAGGTGGATCACTTGAGCTCAGGAGTTCCAGACCAGCCTGGCCAACATGGTGAAACCCCCGCTCTACTGTAACTAAAAATCTTAGACATGGCGGCCTGTACCTGTAATCCCAGCTTTTCAGACGGCTGAGGCACAAGAATTGCTTGGGACAGGAGGTGGAGGTTGCGGTGAGTCGAGATTGTGCGGCGCTGCGCTCCAGCCTGGGCAACAGAGTGAGACCCTGTCTCAAAAAAATGTAAAATGTTCTGATCGGCAATTGGTTGAAAGAGTTCTTATCTGTAGAAAGCAATGTCTGTTCATAGAGACCGAGGTTTCGTCTTGCAAGCGAAGCCTCCAGGCAGAAGGCCGTAACAGACTGTACAGAGCAGACTGCAGGGTGTCCTGTCAGGCTCCAGGTCCGCCGTGATGTTAAGTGCTGGTCGGCTCTTCCCGAATTCTAAAGGGAGGCAGGCACAGTGAGGCACGTCTGACCCCTGCTTCCTATCATGGCCGGAACCAGTCCTTCAGGTTGACTTTGGGGTGCCCTGGCAGAGTGGATGGAGTTCATTCAGATGGCTGGGGAACCCTAGCATTTAATTTTTGGTTTACAGACAGCATGTTAGACGTCCCTGGCATCGGGCTAGGGTGCTCAGCGGAGGTGAGAAGGATGTGGTCCTAGCTGCCCTGTCCCCCCCACCCCCCACCACCAGCAGGCGTTTGAGCATATGGTCACTCAACACACAAGCCGTGAAGCACCTACTGTGTGCATACTGGGGTGGGGCACCGTGAACACAGAGGTGAATAAGACCTGAGGGTCCCTGCCATCAAAGAGCCCCCCTGTCTAGTGGATGAGCAGGCTCCTATGTGCAGGGTGCTTAGAGGTGTCGTGGCTAAGAGGGGCCCAGGCCCTATGCCTGTAAGTAGCCCAAGATAAGCCCCAAGAACAGTGAAGGTGGCTGCAGGGACAGCTCAGCTCAGAGGGGCCACTGCTCTGGCCAAGGGCTGGGTGGATAGAGGAAACCTGGACCGGCCATGCTGGTCGTGCGGGCTGTGGGTTGCTAGGTGCTGCCCCTGGCAGGTTTCCTTTGGAAAAGCTGAGTGAGGCCTCCCCTGTGCACAGAGGCCTGAGTGGTGGCTACTATGGGTGGGAGCCAGGAGAAAGCTGGAGATTGTGGGGCCACTGAGGAAGGAGGAGACAGTCCTGAGACCAAATGCAGGGCTGTTCTGGCTGAGTGGGAGCCAGCACGTCCTGGCAGTTCTCAGCGGTGGCCAAGGGCGGTAGAGCAAGGCTTGGCATTGGAGTCCTGCTGCTCCTCCCAGCTGCGTGACCTGGAGCAAGTCACTAGCCCTCCATGAGCCTCGGCCTCTGCTTTCACATGGAGATGAGAGGTGTCAGACCCCATGACCTTGATGGCAGGCCTCCCCAGTGGCCATAGGACAGCCATCTCCCTGGGGCTGGCCAAAACCAGTGGGGACTGGAGCGAAGTGAGCGGGCTCCCAGCCCTTCCATCTCTGTGGGTCTAAACAAGCTGCTTGTTCCAGGGGCCGGGAGAACGCATGGGTATTGAGTTCCATTGCCAAGCACCTGTGTGCGATTGGCGTCGGGTGGGGAGAAAGCCAGAAAAAGCCCCAGCCTCCTTCCACTGGGGAAAATCAGGCCTACCCAGCTCCCTTCTGACTCCTCTCCTCCCATCACAGAGCTGGGATCTGAGCCCAGAGAGGGGAATGAGAATCATGACCTGGCTGCCCTGCCCAGACCCCCTCAGACATGCAGAGAGCAAACCCCAGCCAACACTGCCTTCCTCCCATCTGTACCAAGGCACAGTCGGAGCCCGGGAGACGTTCTTGTGCTGCTGTTGGCATGCTTAGCTTAAGGGAACTTGCTTCTAAAACACCCAATGTTCATCTGCTTTGCAAAGAAGAGGCTTCTCGGTCAAGGTCATCTCCTGAGCCCACCTTGAGCTGCAATAATAGTGGGGAGAATTTGTCAGTGCTAAGCACCTCACGGGCCTCATCCCTGATCTAATCCTCAGAAACGGGAAGCCCCTTCAGGGAGGTGTTGCCGGGAATGTAGAAAGACGCTGAGACTGAAAGGGCATTTAATGTATTAATATGAAATGGATACTGCCGCCATGTTGGCGTGTAAAACATTCGACCTGGCCCAGGAACAGTGGGCACAGCACACCCTGTTCCCATATCTCAGAGCTAGCTGTCCACTTCGCAAACAGCAGGTGGTGTTGGGCCATCCTGGGCATCACTGAGGACCCAGCCCCTGCTATCCTCTAGAAATCTGATCCCAGGGTACAGGCAGACCCCAGAGTGGATGCCCATCTGGTATGCAGCACTAGGGCTGATGGAGACCCAAGGAAGCTGGGCAGGCCTGGAGGAGGAGCAGGAGGAGGAGGAGGAGGGTAAGGAGAAGAAGGAGGAGGAGGAGCAGGAGGAGGAGCAGGAGGAGGAGGAGGAGGAGGGTAAGGAGAAGAAGGAGGAGGAGGAGCAGGAGGAGGAGCAGGAGGAGGAGGAGGGGAAGGAGAAGAAGGAGGAGGAGCAGGAGGAGGAGGAGGAGGAGGGTAAGGAGAAGAAGGAGGAGGAGGAGCAGGAGGAGGAGCAGGAGGAGGAGGAGGGGAAGGAGAAGAAGGAGGAGGAGAAGGAGGAACAGGAGGAGGAGGAAGAGGAAGAGGAGGTGGAGGAGGAAGAGGAGGAGAAGGTGGAGGAGGAAGAGTAGAAGGAGGTGGAGGAGGAGAAGGAGGATGCGGAAGAAGAGGAGGAGGTGGAGGAGGAGGAGGAAGAGAAGGAGGAGGAGGGGAAGGAAGAGAAGGAGGAGGAGGAAGAGGAGGAGAAGCAGGAGGAGGAGGAGGAGGAGAAGGAAGAGGAGGGGGAGGAGGAGGGGAGGAGGAGGAGATGGAGGGGGAGATGGAGGAGGAGGAGGAGGTGGAGGAGGTGGAGTAGGAGGAGGAGAAGCAGGAGGAGGAGGAGGTGGAGGAGGAGGTGGAGGTGGAGGAGGAGGTGGAGGTGGAGGAGGAGGTGGAGGAGGAGGTGGAGGTGGAGGCGGAGGAGGAGGAGGAGAAGCAAGAGGAGGAGGAGAAGCAGGAGGAGGAGGAGGTGGAGGAGGAGGTGGAGGAGGAGGAGGTGGAAGAGGAGGAGGTGGAGGCGGAGGAGGTGGAGGAGAAGCAAGAGGAGGAGGGGGAGGAGGAGGAGGAGAAGGAGGAGGAGGAGGTGGAGGAGGAAGAGGTGGAGGAGGTGGAGGAGTAGGAGGTGGAAGTGGAGGAGGAGGAGGAGAAGCAAGAGGAGGAGGGGTAGGAGGAGAGGGAGGAGGGGGAGGAAGAGGAGGAGAAGCAGGAGGAGGAGGAGGAGAAGGAGGAGGAGGAGGTGGAGGAGGAGCAGGAGGAGGAGGGAGGAGGGAGCAAGAGGAGAAGGAGGAAGAGGAGGAGGAGCAGGAGGAAGAGGAGGAGGGAGGAGGGAGGGAGCAAGAGGAGGAGGAAGAGGAGGAGTACAGCTGGAAGAGCGGTGGTGGCAGCTGCCAAGCTTAGTATGTGAGAGGGCACAGAACATGGAGGGGACCCGGGCCTGTGGGCGGGGGCGCGTGCAGAGGCAGTGGGCAGGTGGCGGAGTGTCATGCCCACTCCCTCTTCTCCCTTCTCTCTAGATGCAGAGTCATGTTAGCAATCAGGGTTGCCCGGGCGCCACCCTCATGCCTCAGAGCTGTCCTCCCGCTGCCGTGTGTAGCCCCACATCCAGAGCTGGTGTTGCCCGTCTTCGCTGGCGTGCACTGAGGAGTGTAGGAGGCGTTGGTTGTCACCCACGCCGGTCCCCGCACGATGCTCAACCTGAGTCAGGCAGCTGGGGCTTCCCTGATAAAGGCCCCTGGCCCAGGCAGCTTGCACAGCAGAAACCCACCTTCTCACAGCTCTGGAGCCTAAAAGGCCAAGATCACGGTGCCAGCTGGGGTGGTCTCGCCCTCCCTGGCTCATAGACGCTGCCTTCTCCCTGCACCTCCACGAGGCCGCCCTCTGTGCGTGTGTCCGGATCTCCTCTACTCATAGAAACCCCAGGCACGACAGATTAGGGCCCACCGTAGTGACCTCTTTAAAAACCGGTCTCCAAATACACTCGCATTCTGAGGTTCTGGGGGTTAGGATCCAACCTACGAATGTTGACGTAGATCGGCCGGTCTGCCGTGGCGCCTCCCGGGCTTCGGGCACCGCTGCACAGATGGACCCCTGAGATGGATGGGACAGAATTGTTGGCGGTGGCAAGAAAAGGATCTGTTCAGAAAACGAGAGAGGAGGGGGCTGCCGTGGGGGCCGTGGGGGAAACCGTCGATACTGCCGAGGATGTGGGGGCCGAGGGGAGAGTCGGGGCCGAGTTCTTGGCTCCTGAGGCCTGGGGAGGCCTCTGTGGAGATGGGCTCCTTTTGGACGGGGTGAATCGGAGGCATGGGGAAGCTAGACAGGTGGCCCAGGAGTGAGGGCTGAACCAGGAGAGGGCCCTGCCCTGCAGGTGGGGAGGGACAGCAGGTGCAGCCAGGGGTGTGGGGACCACAGAAGGACTGTGTCTGCAGGGCTGGAAGGGGCTGAGGTGTGGGGAGAGGTGGGACAGTCATGAAAATCATCAGCCCAGGGGACACAGCAGGTGTGGCCTAGGAGGGAGGAGGGCCCAGGAGTGGCCCCAGGTGGCAGTGTGCATGCAGGAGAACCCAGATCCCAGGTGCGATGGCAGCAGAGACCAGAGCCAGCCAAGAGGTGCAGTGGAGAGTCACCAGGGGCCTCCGAAGGGCCATTTCTAAGTTGCGTGTCAGGTGGGAACAGGTGCTCCTGGAGCTGAGAAAGGTCTGAGGGGCTTTGGGAAGGTCAAAGGGCATGGAGGACAGAGCTGGGGGCCAAGCTAGAGGGGGTCTTGAGGGTGACCAAGACGGTCCCATGTTCCTAGGAACCGGGGTTGATAGACGAAGCCGCAGCAAGTCCCCATCATCCTGGTGGAAATGACAGCTCTGAGCATGCCCGCAGCTTGCAGAATGGCCTAGCTGCGTGTCACTCGGGTCCTGTGCGGCCCCCTGCATCTGTCTGATGCTAGCTTTTCAGTCGTCCATCCAAGCCTGTGTGTTTATTCCAAGAATTCCTTCAACCTCGACTTTAAACAGACACCCCTGTGCACCAGCGTGGCTGCTTCGGACAGTCGCTTCTGGAGGCCCCGAGCCCGGGAACCTGCCTCAGTCTCTTCTCTGTCCTTTCTTAGGAAACCAGAACTTCCTCGGAGAGCATCATTTCAGCCCCTGCTTCCAGCACCTCGGGGTCTCCGAGCCGTGTGATTTATGTAAGTCGGGGCCTTCTTATGGGGGTGGTGGTGGGAGAGTGGAGAGAGAAGGGGGGCCATGTGGCGGTGGCTGAGCCGGCCCCTGAGAGAGGTCCCCGAGAACTGTGGTCCGGGGCCTGAGGGACGGCGGTGCTCTCGCCCCTGTTTTGGGGCAGAGGTTGGTACAGACTTTGTGAGTTTGACTCAAAACCTGAAACACACAGACGTGTTCGTCTGACCTGACAGTTCCCTGGGAACCTGTGCACAACTGTCTGATGACAAGAGCACACGGCGGTGTGTACACAGCTGTTGTTTATAGTGGGGCAAACACGTCACATCAGCGGGTGACAGGCAGGGCCTGCCAGGCACCCAGGCGGGACCCTGCGGGTTTTGTAAGTAATGGCGCAGAGCTGTGCATATCAACACACACACTCCCAACGAGTCCCCAAAAGAAGCCAGTTAAGGGTGATGTAAGTTATGTGATTCCATTTTCATCAGAGAGAGTGTGTGTGTGTGTCACGTGTATGTGTGTGTCTGTGTCTGTATGTGTATGTGCGTCTGCGCCTCGCACACTTATAGGAGCACACACACATATAAAAATGATTGGAAACATTTTAGCAAGTTGTTACCAGAAATCTCTGGGTGATGGGATTCAAGTTGGGAGATGATTGTTTCTGTTATTTGCTTACACTGCTTGTGTAAATAGCAGAATTTCTTATCTAGGAGAGGCCCCCGGGCACCAGGTGAGGGGTGGCTTGTGCAGTGGTGGGGGCCGCCCAGGACCACCCTGTAGGTGCTCCTGCACCAGAACCCAGCATTGGAACAGCTGGTGACCTGGGACAAGCCCGTTCTCCCCTCCCCATCCCCACCAGTCCAGGACCTGGGTTCCCTCGCCTCAGCGGGGTCTGCGTCAGCTCTCTGCTGCATTCTTTCCCAGCCTCAATTCTCGTAGGGGTTGGACGCAGGGTCCTTCCTGGCCTTAACCTTGACTGAGTCCTCGGTTACCATGACGCACGGTTGTCCTGGAGGGTGACTGGTACTGTGGCCCTCGGGGCGTGCACTCCGAAGCTTAGGCAGGTACACAAAGGCCCCAGGTTGGCTTCATGCCCTGGGTGAGGTGCCACCTGCCTGGAGCCTCCGGGAGGGCCTCGGTGAGCTGTGGAGACCCCCGGGCACCTTTGGTCCCGGGCTCACGGAGGCACTGCGTGGGCTGTGAGCACAGCGCCTGCCCAGAAGAAGGACGTGAGAGGCGCTCACTGCCATTACCGTGTCCATCATCTGCATCAGCCTCCTGGGGGCTTCAACAACAGAAATAAATGGTCTCAAAACTCCAGAGCCTGGAAACCCAGGATCGAGGAGTCGGTAGGGTTGGTCTCCCCGTCCCTCGCCTGCAGGTGGCCGTCCTCTCCCTGTGTGTGTCCGGGTCCTGGTTTCTTCCCATAAGGACACCAGGCAGATTGGATGGGACCCACCCTAACGGCCTCATCCTAACTTCATTACCTCTGCAAGGCCCTGTCTCCACATACAGTCCCATCCTGAGGTCCCAGGGGTTAGACTTTACCGACATAGGCATTTGGGGAGACACAGTTCAGCCCGTAATACCCTCACCATCTTCATGAGTAATGATTATCACAGTTACCATGTAAATGAGAGAAGCTTTGTGTAGGGACACACAGGTATGATCCGTTTTCCTCACCCACTGAAAGGGTCACAGCCGACACTCCCATAGCAAGAGACAAGCTAACAACAGAAAAGCATGACAGATTTATTTCATCAAAGTTTTAGGTGACACAGGAGCCTTCGGACATGAAGGCCCAAAGGCCCAGGCGGGACTGTCCTTTTTAATTTTATTTTTGAGACAAGCTCTCGGTTTGTCACCCAGGCTGGAGTGCAGTGGTGAGATCATGGTTCACTGCAGCCTCAACCTCCCTGGGCTCGGGCGATCCTCCCACCTCAGCCTCCTGAGCAGCTGGGACTACAGGCATGTACCATCACACCTGGCTCATTTTTGTATTTTTTGTTGAGGTGAGGTCTTTTTATGTTGCCCGGGCTGGTCTTGAACTCCTGGCCTCAAGCAATCTGCCTGCCTCGGCCTCCCAACGTTCTGGGATTATGGGTGTGAGTCACCGCGCCTGGCTAGCACTGCTCATTTTTATGCTTAGACTGGATGAAGACTGGACGGCGATGTAGAAAAGTGACTGGACAGAAAGTGTGTGATCTGCTGGGAATAGAGTTGGGGCGGAGGTGGGGAACAGCAGGGCGGTCCACTCAGATGCTGTTTGGCCTCGCTGGGCAGCCCTCCCTCCTCCAGGTATAGGGCAGGGGGTCTTAGGACGCGTTTCCAGCCAAGCTAGGTCAGAGAATGTCTCCACGGCCAGGTCATGCACAGAGTGAGGGAAGGTTAGGCTGACGTTTCTAGGCTTCATGGCTGGCTTTGGGGAGGAAGTTCTAGTTCCTGTGACGCGCCTTGGGGAAGAGGAACTCTGGTTTCTATGGCTCACTTCAGGGGCACGGGGAGGAAGAGGGAGAGAGACAGGAGGTCCGAAGGTGGTCACAGAGGCACTGCTTCTGAGGCCTTGCACCCTCCGTTAGGTCAGAGTCCTCAGCACGCCGTGGCTCCATACTTTGGGGTATTGCTTCCTGAGCCCCAACATTGGCAAAGCATTCGGCATCTGGCCTGGCGTCGGCAAGTGATCTTCATGGTAGCCGTCGCTGTTGTTACTGGAACCCGCATGGCACAGTGTAAATGCCCATTAAATACGAGCTCATTCTTTTTTAAACAATCTGGCATCTGCCAGGGCCTCAGGAGTGGTAGTGACTGTGTATGCATGCAGCAAGCAGTGACAGCGGCCTCTGTTGGCATGGTCTCACTTTCAAGGCCATGCACAGTCAGCGGCACAGCTGGGCTTTGAGCCCAGGTCTCCACAACCCCAAGGCTTGAGTTTTTTCCAGGAGACCCCACTGCTCAATGCTGCCAACAGCCGTGGTGGGTCCTTTCTTCTCGCATCAGGCAATTACGAGCTTGGTAGAGCACGAGCTCCCTGTGGAGCCCTGGGGACCCAGCCGTGATCAGGCCAGGCAGCATCCCTGTTCTGATGGGGGAAGGGGTTCCCTTCCACAGGGGAGATCCGGGCACACCCAAGTGCGGATTTCAGGGGATGCCTGCCAAAGGAGAGGGAAGTATGTTGGTGGGTGAAGAATTTCTGCACCAGCGGGGTGTGCACTGGACCCAGGTCGAATGCAGCCCGATACACGTGTCTCAGCTTTGATGGACTTCCTGCTCGGCCAAGCAGGCGTGCACACAACTCCGGCTTTAAACAGGCCTCCACCAAACGAATCCAATGTCCCAGCTCTTAGTTTGACACAAGAGAATCTATGGAGTGCCACGCTACCTCCTCCTGGCCTTGGAGCTGTCCGGGACCTGCCATCACCGTGCTCACGCCGCTGATTCCACCCCAAGAGGTGCGCTGACGTGCTTGTGTGATGCAGCCTCTAAGTGGTGGAGCCACCGTCTGAGGACACAAGCTCCCAACTCTGACACGTGCTCCTAGCACCATGGTCAGCACCCAGCCTGGCTGCACCCCGGCCCTCCCAGGGGCAGACAGGCCAGAAGCCAGAGCAGCCCCGCTCTCCCTGCCACCTCGAGGTTGGTGCCACACGCAGGGGGCATGTCCAAGATGATGTGATCTGGTGGGAAGCCCTCGTGATCTCAGGGTTCTGCCCTGCTTTTCTTTCTTTTCTTTTTTTTCTTTTTTTTTGAGACCCAGTCTCGCTCTGTCGCCCAGGCTGGAGTGCAGTGGCACGATCTCAGCTCACTGCAACCTCCACCTCCCAGGTTGAAGCGATTCCCCTGCCTCAGCCTCCCAAGTTGCTGGGATTACAGGTACTTGCCCCTGTGCCCAGCTAACTTTTGTATTTTTAGTAGGGACAGGGTCTCACCATGTTGGCCAGGCTCGTCTCCCAACTCCTGGCCTCAGGTGATCCACCTGCCTCGGCCTCCCAAAGTGCTGGGATTACAGGTGTGAGCCGTTGCACCCGGCCTGCCCTGCTTTTCATCTCAACCTCTGCTGGTGTCTGTTGTCAGCCTACTGTGTGCCCAGCCCCTTGCTCTGCGCTGGGCATCTCCGTGGCCTCGGGAAGGGGCTATTCCACACCCCATCGAGGTGTATGCAGGTTGCAGCCACCTAGCCCCGCCTGCTGTGGGTGGTTGTCAAATGCAGCATCCCCTTCCTTCGCTGTCAGGAAGAGACCGGCTCCCCATGCCATTCACGTGCACAGGAATGGACCGGAACCCGCGAGTGACTGCGTCTCCTCCGAGGCCTATGAGGGCTTGGTGGGCAGGGGCTGCACCTCGTTCAAATTAGTTTCCAGGAGAAAACGTGCACACGGTAGGACACTCCATAAATCATGGGGCTTCGGGACATAACCTATTTTACTGCTCTGTTCTTTATTACAAAAGCAATCAGTATTTATTTATTTTTTTAAAGTAATCAGCAGAACAGAGAAAATTGAAGCATTTGCGTCCTGCCAGCCACCGTGGCCTGCCAATGCCGTGGGCACCCTTCAGGTCTCCTGTGTGGGGGTCATTTTTGTAACATGGGGTCACACTGGATGTAATGTTTTGTAGCCTTTATATCCACATGGCAATAGTGCATCATATGAAAGCAGCGTTCTTCCATTCTGTGTTATTGACCGGATAATGTGGTGATGATAATGTCATATGTGGCCGTATTATTGTCGATCATGCTGGGTGGAGTGTGGGAAGGAAGAGAGCAAAGAGGAGAAACCCTTTACACACACTCCAGGAGCCTTCCGCCAATTAGAGAGGGCAGCCCGATGTCACGGCAACCACCCAAGGACTTGGATCTGCAAGGCCACTTAGCAGCCTGTCTGGGGGGTCGGGCAGAGACTGCTGGTGTCCTGCCGGCTGCCCTCTCTGACCCCTACTGTGAGGGCCAGTGTGGTTCATGGGAAGCCTGAGGAAGGCAGGGAACTAACCCGGGGCAAGGCGGCCTCGCTGC